GTTTTGGTTTTTGTTTTTGTCGTTGTCCTTATTTGATCCGCGTAAGAAGCATGTGAGATTCGATTAGGAGATTGAAAGTTTCACTCCAATGTGCCTTTTTTCAAGTTCCCTTTTTTGCGTAATTTTTTTACATCCATCCATTAATCCATCCATCAAGCCAACCAGCCAACGAGAAACCAATTAAAGTATAACCTTTCAAATAGGCAAAGGCACATAGACGACTTTCATAACTCAGTTTTTTTCAGATAGAGAACAGAAGCCTTCTTACCAGAAGCTATTAATGCTATCTGAGAAAATACTTCACGAAAACTCTTTCCAGAAAATTTTGTGGAATTTGACTGCATACCAAAGAAGTTATGAAAGAACGAAAATAGAGAGTTTTGTATGTATTTATCACTGGAAGCCTTGGTGGCCTCGTTTTGGTGCATTTTCAAAACTTCAAATGCTCACATCTTGTAAAGGAAATATTTGCTTGCAAATAGGGTTTTTATGTCTTATAGAAGTTTTTGATATTTCATGCCCACTAGTGTAATTAATTACATAACCCGTGACGGGGTAAAGGGATTGAGGAATAAGGCATACCCCCTATAATGCGATGCGTTAGTCACGTGGTCTAACACTCGCGGGGGTCATTAACCTTCTAGTTGTCACCGAGTGAAGACCAATTCTTGTCTGTGGCTCTGAACTGTTATTCTTTTTTCCCTTCTGCCCAGTAAAGGTGCGGACATCAAAACGCCAAAAGGATGATTGCATTGGAAATGCCATCATGCTGCCCCACCCCAGGCAATGCAGTGCAAAGAACACAACAAAATACAAAATGGGAGTAGAGAAAAAAGGTATTGACGATCTGCCGCCCTTGCGGGTCACACCACATTATCTGATAAACCTAAACTATCAGGCCAGGATATATAAAACATTTAATGCCGTGAGGAAATGCTGCCCCTGCAGGTCAATTCCCAAGGGCATGTTACATGAATAATAAGAATACAGTGATAGAATGCTGCCCCCTGCAGAACATTCACCTTACGTAATAAACTATAACAGCTATCAAGTGATAAATATATACAAGAATTAATGCAGTTGGGAACTGCTGCCCCTGCAGGTCAATTCCCAAAAGAATGCTGCATGAATAAGAAGAAATATAGTGATAGAATGCTGCCATGCCCCTGCAGAACATTCAGATTTCCTTTTTGTTGCTCAAACTGATACCAGGGTAGAAATTCAAGTATACTTAGTCATGCATACTGTTAACACGAATGTATTTCAAGAAGGCATTAGACTTCCATCGCCCTAAGATACGGATTTGAGCATCTGACAGGCCTTTTTCGGCTGCATGTGACGCCGCACCAATTCGGAAACTATGCCCTTTATACCGAGTAGGATCCAAGCCACAATGGGATAGGTTGGATGAAAGTAAAGTGCAAAACATGTCTCGCGATACAGGAGTCCCAGAATCAGTAATAAAAAGAGGTCCAGGATTGGAACCACGAAATTTCAAATAATCCAAAATAATATCAACTGGACAACAAATTTGCTGACGTGAAATAGTAAGTGAAAATGAAGGCTGGTTATAGCTATGCTTATAGTCCCTGAAAGTGATTTTAAGTGCCTGAACCGAATTGCCAGTGTTGACTAGCCGAGTGAGTTGCTGTAGCTGTAAAGGAATCCCCGAACTACTAGAGACTGATGTCATTTCACCAACTCTCAGGAAGGCATAAAAGGCTAAGGAGCACATTGCTCTGAACAAAGCACGTTCATATGATGTCTTGTACTTAGAGATTTCGAGACACAGTAACTTTTATAAAATGGGCAAAGTAATAGAGAGTCGACTATCTAAACGAAATCCCACCTTGTTGTAGCCTTTGAGCATTTGCAAAACGAAAAATGCTTTAGATGGATCTGGTAGGAGATAAAGCTTATGAGAATACCCTATGGCAGAAACATAAGTATGCACTGTTGAGGGTGCATAACTCCTATCAAAAACAAAAGCTATAAAAAGAGCTAGCAAGGTGGGGGAAATTGGTAAAGAAATCAGAGCGCGCTGAAAGTATGTACTTAAAAAGAGTTGGAACAGACCCCATGCCCTCTTATAAACAGGGATGGAAGATAGCTGAAGGCTTGACTTGATAAGGGTGGAGACTATATCGCCCAATGCTGCGGTAGAAGATGAGGAGGGATCTCTGTGGGGTGTGAGTGTATGGAAGCTGGGACCATCTGCTTGAGAGCTGAAACCTGCAAGCGAGATAAAGCATCAGCCAATGGGTTGTGTATGCCAGGAACATGTTTCGCTTTAAACATAATGTTCTCCTGAAGGCAAATAGAGACCAGCTTTCTAACAAAAAACATGAGCGACTTGTCTCTGCAGGACTGTTTGTTGATGACATGGACTAGAGCCTCATTGTCCGTAAAAAATAAAACACACTGATTGCGAAGCTTAGCACCCCAGAGGTATAGACTTAGTACAATTGGATAAAATTCTAATATTGCAATATTTCTCCCAATCCAATTAGCAGGCCATTGGCCATAGCACCAGTGGTTGCCAAATAATGCACCGAAGCCAAGAGAGCCAGCAGCACCAGTATACAAACTAAGCTTAGTGGAAGTGGCCCAGGTGTCCTCCAGAAAGAAAGACTTACAATTATATGACATGAAAAAAGAATGCCAAACTTTCAAATCTTCCTTAACGGATTGATTAAGTCTAATAAAATGATGTGGAGAATGAACACCTAAGGTTAAATCAATTAGACGACGCAGGAAAGCTCCACCTGGAACGATGATAGAGCAAGCAAAATTCAAATGGCCAACTAAAGATTGAAGTTCCCGAAGAGTAACTTTCTTCCGTCTGAGGAATTCATCCAGAAGGGCTAGGCAGTTATCTTTCTTATCTTGAGGCAAGCGAGCTTCCATTAGGGAAGAATCAAGTTCAATACCAGCGAAAGACAAAACCCTAGATGGTCCCACAGTTTTTTCTGGGGCCATAGGAATACCAAGGTATTGGCACAGGTCAAGAAAAAGGTTTAATTGAGCCCGACATAGGGATTCCGTAGGAGCAACAATAAGAAAATCGTCAAGTAAATGCAATATGTTAGGAATGTGAAGCTTGCGACGCGCAATCCATTCAATGGCAGTGCTGAAGGTTTCAAAGACTTTACAGGAACTGGAACAACCCATAGGCATGCATTTATCAAAGTAATAGGCATCGTTCCACCGCATTCTTAAAAGAGGATAATCGAGGGGTTTGACTGGAATAATCCGAAAAGCATTCTTAATGTCAGTCTTGGCCAAAAAGCAGTTGGGGCCAACTGATTTGATATATTGTATAGCATCCTGAATGGATGCATATTGAACAGAAGAATTTTCCGGAGAAATGCCGTCATTAATTGATGATCCCCTAGGAAAGGATAAGTGGTGGATCAATCTGAATTCCCCGGGAGATTTCTTAGGTACCACTCCAAGGGGTGAAACCTGAAAATGCTCAAATGGAGGGGAACTAAAGGGGCATGCAAGCCTATCAGCCGCCAGTTCGTTTTCAATTTTGGTAGTAACAATGTCAGGATGTTGAAAAGCTGATATCAAATTATTACCCTGAAATGAAAGCCTAGGACCTTCATAACCAAGACGAAATCCTTCAGTAAAGCCAGAATAAATGTAAGAGAGAAGTGAAGTGGTATACCCGTCAAGCAAGCTTGTTAATTTATCAATTCTTACTGGCGTTGGAAGATGACTTGGCAACGGAGGGCTGGCTTTTAGGGAATCTTTTCTCACTTTGAGGACGAAAATTGCAATTCAGGGCTCTATGGCTGCCCTCACACTTAAAACAACTATGCTTGAAAGAGCAGCCAGAACATTCCAATCCCTTATGGAGTTTGTAGCAAAAACCCTTAGGGATTGACAAAAAGGATGTACGTGGGGACTTCTCCCTCACATTAGGGGTGGATTGAGCACGAAGCCACAATTCCCAATGCATATGTCCCCAAGGATACATAGTTGGGCTTTGCTGTCGCAAGAATCGAAAATTTTCATCGTAATATTTCCAATTTTGACCCCTCACTGCCAAGTCATGAATCAACTCGCTATATTTCATTAAAGCTGGAGCTTCAAGAGGGMATTTCTGAGTATAGATACCCACAAAAACCCTAAAGGCACTATTCCAGGCCTCGATTGTATTGATGCGCTTCGGTTTGAGAGAAGATTCGAGAGACAATGAAGGCAATTGGCCATCATTGGGATTCTGTATTGTGATATTAAATTTGCTCTCTAGCACTGGGTTAACTAGAAGACTACCAAGATCAAAGCAATCATTGAGCCAGATCTTGGACTTTAGCTTATCTGATACCCGGGCATCAATGGATAGGTCAGCAGAACGAAATAATGAAGTTGGCAGYGAACCAGGATTTTGAGTAGCCATAGGTAGCTCACCTGTTATTTGGCTGTGGGCAGCATTCACTGAAGATGGCACATCGCTGGCGCCAGTGGCAGCAACTTCAAAAAGTGAGGTGTTGGGAGGATGCTGGGTTACACCCCTAACCACTGGAACAAATGCACCAGGTGCAGATGAAGCTGCTGGCACAGGAGTCGGCAGTGGGGTTGTTTGAGGCCGCGTTAAATTGTGGAGTATAGGGGCCAGGCGAGAAGTAACTTCCTCAGTGACTTGTGCCACAAACCGACCTATGCACTCTGAGGAGAGATTAGACGATGCTGGTGGAGGTGGAAGGCGTGGTGGCAGAACTGGTGGAGGTTGAGAAGAAGAGGGGACTACTCGACCAGCAATACGTTTTGAATTCAATACGTTCTTGTAAAGGATTTATTCATTTAAGTAGAAACTCACACGCCTTATCTAAGTCAACAAGATCAATTATTTAAAAGGGTTTTCACTCCAAAAACATTGATTTTTAATGTTTATGCAAATTAGCAGCAGCCAGTTATGAAAGTCGTGCATGGTCTTATCATCAATAAATGTACTGAATGCCCCCACACACTAGAAAAGGGGTTCTCCTTTCTTTTCTCATATTTCTATATTTTTATTAATATCTTACCAGTAAGTTAAACATTACAATAATCTCATTCTCATTTCTATCAATGTTTCAATTATTCATCCATTTTCTTGTTATCACATTACGATTGATATAGATCAACATTTTTAACATGCTCCTAAATCATAATATAATACTGTGTATACTTTATTTGTTTTTTATTTATAACAACATCTTCCGGCCAGATACATACAACCGCCTTTATAGCCATATCCCCCTGGACAACCGGATTGGCTCAGGAACCAGAATGTCCCTGGCTTTTTACCGCAACTGCACCCGACTCTTTTCATTAAGTACATTCCTGTTAAGAGAAAGGTTATTCAACTTTATTATTCTGAGGTAGATATAGCGAAAGCCTTACAGGTCTTGGATCCAATTACAAGGTAAGTTCGGATTCAGAATATTCTTTACCTTTCATGTCAGCTTCATCATTAGGCAATGCCACTGCTGCTGCAATCAGTACAACAAGCACACCAAGGATAAGGAATCGTGAAGGCATGGCTTTCTCTTAAAATAGATGTCTGTGGAAAAGTGAATCACAATGATACATATATTACTACCATGCATTATCGTTGAAGTGCGACCCGTGAATCAATTAATGTCTCGTTCGCCGACTAGCATTTTAACGACCATCAATCAGAGAACTAAAATAAAAAAGCAATATCTTGAGGGAAATGTTGGATTGAATTAAATACTTTGAGAGAATTATTTTTGTATTCAAGCAGTGAGCGCCAAAAACTATTTTCTTGAAGAAAGGCTGTTGTACAGGCTTAAAATCTTGTTATTYAGAAAGTTTAAGTTGTTTGGAAGTGGAGATGACCGATGAAAGTGGAATCAAAGTGTTAACCCAAAGCAAACATTTTATTCSAAAATGAGGTTTAGGCCTTCATTTACTTATTTCCCATATATTTTCTACAAAAAAAGCCTGACAAAGCAACATTATAACACAAATGCAACAAAACATCTTTGTACAGTTGAAAATACCGCTTCAAAACATCAGGCATTTTATCATAGTACATCAGTTCCTAACTGTTTAAAAAAGGTTTTGAGTGTTAACCCAAAACGAAAATTGGGATCAAAACTCATACGAAAGTCTAGTTTTTGGCGCTGTTTGCCATTATTGCTCATTATTGAAAAACATTTCCTCTTAAAGGATTTGAGTATTATGACTTAATTTAGAAAAGGCCATCAAATGAGGCAAACTGGACTTTTTTGTTTGTTTGCACAATTATATAGAAGTTCGCGAGTTTGAATGTAAAACGTGCCAAAGTTAATAACTATATAAAGTCAACCCGGTTTAGTTATCCGTAACATTCAAGTAAACTATGATCAACCCTACCTTTTCTTCGAAGACGTGCTTGAGCTCTTGTCTTTCTCGTGAGTACCAATAAACAACCGGTAGCTTGTTATATTCGAGAYAAACAAAAGATATTATAATTAATTAATATAAAACGAGACCATCATTAAGGATGCTCATTTGCTGCCTTTCCATTTTCACTAGACTTGTGGGTAATAATCTAGAAAGGGCATTGAAAAAAGGTAATAGGAATTTAGAATAAAAACATTTTCCTACAGAAAAAAAGGAGGAAAGACTTGTTTTTAAAAAAGAAAAAAATATATCAGCTTCATCATTAATAGGCAATGCCACTGCTACTGCGATCAACCCAACAAGCAAAACAAGGATARGGAGTCGTGAAGACATGGCTTCGTCTTGAATAGTTGTCTGTGGAACACTAATTAA